AAAATACAGCAAATTCTTTTCAAGGATTCTATTTTGCCATTGTATTTAATTGCAAAGAGAACTATGAATAGATCTGTTCTGGCAACCTTGTGTAAGCATCAACCCCTTGGGGCATTGACTCCTCCCTTTAAGACATGCATTTTGTCAGAGTTGAAGAGCTATAAAAAGTTACTTTTTTTGTAAACCAGCATGCAGTTTAGTCTGCTTTAAATAAAGTACCAAACTGCAACAAGTCTCCATGGAAACATTTAACTCTTCATCAGCTAGAAATTTGGATCAGCTTCTTCCCCTTTTGATTCTAGAAAAGAATGGCAGTGTTTACTAAAGAGGTGCTGGCAGAGCTGGTGGCTTAAGGAAGACTTTGCTTTTTCACAACTTTGTACTCCACAAAATGAGGAATCAAAAATGACCACTCATTAGAAATTCTGCTGCTGCTTAATATATTGTCCTTTGAAGGATACATTAAGTTCCAATTTCATATCTAATTCTATTTGTAAATAAGATTCAAAAACTTACATTTCAAAATAAAATATATTATAATGAAAACTGTGGCACCAAATAGACAAATCCACCTGTTGGTGATTTACTAACATCATACCAAAGTAGTAACCTATAAAGCCAAATACAACTCTTTTAAACACTACTTTGTAGTCTTACAAAGTGCCTCCTGTTCACAACATGATTAATCTGATAGCAAAATATTCTATTTTTAGTAGTGCAATTTTTAGCCCCCCCCCCCCTTTTTTTTTTTTGCTACAACTGATGGCATGGGTCATACGTGTGCACACATAGCACTATGCTTCAATTTGTCCCACAAAACCAGGAATATCTATCTATCTATCTATCTATCTATCTATCTATCTATCTAAAAGATTGTGAGGCCTGGCTTACTTCAAGTTATCACAATACTTGGTGATTAGGACAATTTGTTACTGGTTCGGGATTCAGTTCTTTTGCTGCTTTGCTTAATGCACTAAATTTAAAATCAAATCAGTATAGGTCATTGTGGACACTTTTATGCAATATAAAATTATCTCCTATTTGTTGGTTTAAAAGGCAGTAAGATTGGTTAAAGATCTATAAACTAAGTCTAGAAAGAATTAAACTATTTTACACTAATTTGGCATGTGGAAAAAGTGGCTTTATACCAGGGGTCTCCAACCTTGGCAACTTTAAGACTTCCTCTCGTTGAGGAATTCTGGGAGTGGAAGTTCACAAGTCTTAAAGTTGCCAAGGTTGGAGACCCCTGCTCTATACCTTAGTGCCTTAGTATTCCTTTGCATTCACACTAGATACAAACTGTCTATAATTTCAGTTTAGAAAGAACTTTAAAACTGAATTCACATATGTCATAATGGGATTTGTTTGGTTTTGTATTAATACACATCAGAGGTGGTATTCAGCAGGTTCTGACCAGTTCTGGAGAACGAGTAGCAGAAATTTTGAGTAGTTCAGAGAACTGGCAAATACCACCTCTGACTGGAGATTTTACAGTATCCTTCCCCTGCCACACAGAACCGGTAATAAAAAAATTTGAATCCCACCACTGATACACATGCATGACCAAGGATATGGCAGTTTATTCAACAAGCCATAATTCAACATGTCACAGTATGTTTAGCAAACATTAAACATAGAAAAGTCACATAATTTAGTACAGTATGAAAAAATCAGAATCAGTAATATTTTAAAGAGGCAAACAATCATAATTTAGGAGACTCTCCATATTTCACATTGATGGAGTACTGCAACGTATTCACTGAAGTGTTTATTCAAAGAAGGTACACACTCTGCCACAAATAATAAAGGATTGTGATTCTTTAGGGATTCCATATCAATAAACTGTAGCTGGAAATAGATGTACCTTTAAGATTCAAGTGCAAGTCCAGAAACAATTTTATGTCCACAATTATTTTCAAGCCATTGCGACTCATATTCTGAGACATCCATGAATTTAGTTGCTTTTCAAAATTATGAAAACAGTCATGACAACATGACACTAGCTCAGCCCCTTTCATATATGTGTGCAATGTCACAAAAAGGGGCAGAGTTTGCATCACATCCACTGAATACAACTTCTATCATTTGATTCTTTCATGGACACTTCTTACATTACTCACTATTTTATAATTTTATTTTCTCTTCCATACTTCCTAGTATAATAGATCTTGTTCCTTTTTAGCTTCCACTTTTACTGACTATGAAAACTAGCAGGGTAGGAAATTCATAGCCATAAGTTAAGGTTTAGAAATCTAAACAGAATACATTGTCAAATATTAGGGGCACATAGGAAATTTTCTAGTAGAGACAGACAAATTGTGTTTTCAAGAAAAGGCCACCTACCTTTTGGCAGTGAATTGACATGTCTACTCCTAAAGAGCAAATAAAAGACCAGTAATAAAAGTCCTTTAAAGGACTTAAGAAAAGGAACTTCTCCTTTACCCTTGTGAATCTTCTGGTATATCATTGACAGAATATTGTAGTCTTAATATTACTCAAGTAAAACTGCAACTCTCAGAATTATTTCCGTATATAAGATTTTACTGGTTTTCAGCAGTGACAAGAGTACTTAAACTAGACATGAATAAGGGTCCTTGTCTAGAATCTTTAAGTCCCAATTTAGAAACAAACAAACAAACCTTTCCATGGGAGTTACCAAGTAACTACTTCAGAACCCACAAGTTAACTAATGCCACACACAAAGTAGCAATGAAATGTTAACTAATGAAAATATCTACAAAATACTTCCATGTAGGCAGCATATTGAAAAGAATGTTTACCATTAATCTATGGGTGTGTCAGAGGCTTCTATAGTATAGTTTTGATTTTATATTTCGTTTTCGGGGTCAAAACTTTATTTACCTGAAAACTACTACTTTCATGCTTGCTTGATTCCTAGTCCATGTAAATGCTTCCACCCATATGTTTTCCTCTGTAGTTTGTTCTGCATGCCTTGCATGCCATTTACTTCCCATGTGGTTCATGCTTTAAGCTTGCAAAGATTTCACTAGCTGGGAACAAACTGAGATGGCTGGATTTCAAATATTCTGGAAGGTTTTTACACCAATATGAAACTAGCACAACTTTGGGATTAGGAAATTGTATTCTTTGTAAGCACTGTCATTTCAAGAACCTTTATACAAGGGTTTTATCCTAGTTTGGAACCAGCTGCATAACTACCTAAATTTAGAGTTAACCATTCTGAAAGCAATCCTACCTGTGGCTACTGTTTACTAGAAATGGAAGCAAACTTCCTATGTTCTTTGCAACAGTATGACTGTGGATTCTGTGGAGTACTGGCCCTGCTGGCCTCAAAACATCACGATTCTGTTTCTGGTGTCTTTCCATAGGTATTGTTTAGAATGTATCTTCCTTTCTCTCCCATGAGAGCTACCATGGCAACAAACAACTATGATTCATCAACTATTGGAAAAAGTCCTAGTTTCAAACATTCTCACATGTTAATCATCTCCCTATCACATTGCAGGCAGAATGGCAACTTTACCTTTAGGAATATTGGTAGCAATTGCTTAAGATTTTCTTTTTTGGAAACCATTAAGACAAATGTATACAACAAGCACTGAAAATATGAGTGGAATTAATATGTGGCCAATATCTTTTACTTCCTATAGAGTGATAATAAGGGGATTATTCCAGGGTACCCATTGACTCAGGAAAATGATTGACATTTTTGTATTGTTCCCCTGGTCACCTAAAGAAAGCACAGATTGGCTTAAAATTTTCTCTACCAGTCTCAGCATTTTGGGGGGTACAGAAGTGACCAGGTCAGCTTCAAAGTGATTTGTGGGGAATGGAAACCTTGTAGTTTGCAAAATCTCATAAAAATTAAAGATTAATAAATTATTTCCAGTATTAAACCATCAAATTAAAGGTTAAAACTAATGAGATGACAAAAACTTTCATCTGAGACCACTCAGTAACCAAAACTTATTGCAAGCAAGGAGTTAATAACATGAAAATAATTTTGGGGAAGAAAAATCAATATATGGGGTTGATGCTCAGAGTGATCTTGAAAAGACCAATACAGATTTTAAAAAATATGTACCTGTTAGATATATATCCTGCCTTTTGTAAAAGAACTTCAAGGTACTGTAGGAAGTACTGTAGGTAACACTTTCATATGTTTTTCCACAGAAAAATCCTATAAATAGGATAAAGCTGAGAAAAAAGCAACTGAAGTCAGTTGCAGAAGAGAGCTTCTATCTGAAACTGGATCTCCCAATTTTAATCTATCATTTAATCACTATAGCATACCATCTGGATAAGTAGCAACTGTGCCAAAAAAAATTTATCATCCCATTACATATATTTTACATATGCAGAGGTTAGACATATAAACAGAGGAATCCTGCTTAAGGAAATTTCAGATTCTTTTCCATATTTAATCTATAACCTGCAGATAAATAAACTGGGTGAAGGAGTAGTATTAACACATATCTTGTAAATTACAACTTTAAAGCCAGCCTATGCAACACTATTTAGAAGTAATACCCCCTGAAAACAATCAGACAAACTTCCAAGTATTGACATTCTAGGACTGAAGAGATGTTAAAACTTTTTTTTCTAGGTTTTTTTTCCAGAAAAATCTGCCCTGACTTCACAAAAGTTACTATGCTGCGTTAGAGAACTTTCCAGCTACCATGAACCATAATGCCACTGCCACAAAGTAGGTGTGCCATTCATATACGTGCAGAAGGACAGAACCGAGTGCAAACAATTCGGATTTGTAAGGCTGGTTGTTAACTAATTTGCAAAGCAACCCCAAAGCACAGCGAGGGAACAAGTCATTTGGGCGGCGTTTTCGTTGTTTTAAGTTCAACACTAATCCGTTCTGGACTGGAATTGTGTAAACCCACCGACAAATTTCACCCCCATGCTTCAAACGAGAACACACGGCTCTCAAAAATCTGACAATCGGGAATACACCGCTACAGAGGCTGCCGAGTGCAGTTAGCGAGAGGGTAATACGCCACACTCACCGATGTCTGAGTTACAGAAGGCATCCTGGGGATGAACTGGGACGCAGGTACAAGCTTCGACCAGCAGCTCAGTCAGGCTCCAGCTGCAGAGCAGCAAGAAAAGACTCAGCGCCCGCCCTGACATATTGTGTCGCGCAGGAGTACCCTACTCCTCGGTCTCCACCCACGTGGAGAACAGTTAAGAATTAGGGGGAGATGCTTTTAGAAAGAAAGGAAGAAGGAAAAAAAAAGCGTAGCTGCAATGCTGCTTCGTCCGGATGCTCCTTCCCCTGTTTGGCGAGGCAAGCGAGCGAGTGCTGAAAGGGAGCAAGGCGCTTTTAATTTTTTTTGCGCGCGGGGTTCCGCTCCTATTAAAAGTGCAGCCTCGACTTTCCTCTCCGCGCGTTTGACACTCCTCAGCCACTCTCGTGCGCGCCTCTGCGTTCTTTGGCGGCTGCAGGGAGTTATAGCCTTGAGCGCGCCCCACACGGCTATTGGGGTGCCGCCTCCTGGACCAATCGGAGCCCCGCATTACCTCATTCCTCAGGAAAGGGGAGAGGCTACCAAAAAAAAAAAAAACTGGTTGGAGGCGGGGTCCTACCAAGGGATTCAGTTCCATATAGGGAATAATCTGTATTCTCTGTATGTGGCAGTTGGGGCTTAACAAGCAGGATTTCTGTTGACAGTTACTAAAGGGAAACAGGAAGGACAAGTAGATACTAGACTGTGACAGGGATGATGAAGAACGTTAGAGGAAACTTTGATAAATACACTCAGGAGAAGGAAACCAGTAACTGCTGGTCCTTGTTGGCTCTCTTTTTATCCGTATATTCAAATATTAATATTCCTCAACTTCACAGCAGTTTACACTATCAAATACGGCCATCCAGATTTTGGTCCAAAAAGTTACCACATAAAATGAAAAAAAAAAAGTTGGGGGGGAGGAAAAGCAAGAACACTCACATCAAATAGTCAAGTGCTGTTCATCTGTAGAGCTGAAAAGTCTGAAAGGCATCTTAGCCCTAGTTGATAGTATTTTATTGTCTGTCCTGAATGGAAAAGCTATAAATGAATCAGATTGGAAAATAGCTGGTTTCTCCGCTGAGCCAAAGAATGGCTCTTTACTAAGATGGTTGAATGAAAACTAACACCTCCACTCCATATCCTTAGTTTAAATGAAGTAAATGAAGTTTTTTTCGTGTCTTCATTTCAGCCAAATAGATGCCCACAAAAAGGGCCCTCAGTTTGAATGGTATAGCAGAGATTTAAGATGGTGAGAGTTTTCAATTCCCTCTTGACTGGCTCATTCTGCCTACCATTGACATATTGAAGAGAGATCTTTTGTTTTTGTTTTTTGCTTCTGAACCCTGTTTCAAAGTTTTGAAGGTTGCTGTCATGCCCCTGTTGGAGTCTGACTCAGAGGGAGAGATGGAACAACTGACAGGGAGTGGGAGTGTGGCTCCGGTGGTTGTGGAGGAAACTGGGGAACGGCACTGGCCGGATGGCCATTCAGAGGAAGACCCAGGCCCATCCCCTCTTCATCCTAGGGCACGCAGGGAGGAGTGGATAAGGAAGAAACGTGAGTGGCATGGTCTGTGGGGGAAGAAGGGGCCCTGATCTCCTTCATGGGCTGCAGCTGGGACAACTGTTTAAAAGGACAAACTGCACCCAACCAAGTATATTTATTGTCTGTCGTGTTGCTACAAAGAAATTTCTCACTTTCATTCTCATTGCATGATACTATTTGTCTGCAAATTTCAATTCCATCTATGTGAAAGGAATCAATTGCAAAACCCTTCTGACATTGAAAAACATTGATAACATGATCCTCTGACGAGCAAATCTTAACAGTAATCTCCCTTTGACTTTCCCTTTGTTCATCAATTTTTCTCATGTGAAACTTATTGGCTACTACCAGGTTGTCACAGGTGGATCACACAAATCAGTACACCATTTTTACCCCTTTTGCTCCAATAACAGTATTCCCATTAGCTGTCATCAATAACCCACAATTGGTGGTAAGTTTCAGTTGGAGAGACTCTTCCCACCATCAAAAATCAGTTACCTACATTTCTTAAAGCTCAAATGATGAGTTCACTCACAGGCTTTCATTTCATAAACAACAGCAACACAAACTTTTCTTACAACAACTTCATACTAACTGAAATGAAAGCACACAAAGAACCCATCCAACATTCTAGCTTGTAAGTACAGGTAATCCTCGTCTTACAACAGTTCATTTAGTGACTGTTTGAAGTTACAACAGCACTGAAAAAAGTGACTTATTACCATTTTTCACACTTACAACATTGAGGCATCGCCATGGTCATATGATCAAAATTTAGACACTTGGCAACTGACTAATGTTTATGACACTTGCAGTATTCCAGAGTCATGTGTTCCCTTTTGTGAACTTCTGACAAGCAAAGTCAATGGGGAAGCCACATTCACTTAACAACCACGTTACTAACTTAACAGCGACAGATATTCATTTAACAATCATGGCAAGTGAGGTCATAAAATGGGGCAAAACTCACTTAACAAATGTCTCATTTAGCAACAGAAATTTTGAGCTTAATTGTGGTCGTAAATCAAGGACTACCTATACTTCCATGAGTTGTTGACTTGTAACATTGGAGATTATTTTTCATTTAACCCATGTGTGTACATATACAGTAGTTAGAGAATTCTTATGTCATATGTACTATATAGGAAGGGTGGCTTTTCTATCCCACTACTGGAAAACAATTTTCTTCCAGTACCATTTGATATTACCCTCATCTGATCCCATTTGTCTGAGCGTGACTCTTCTGTTCTTATCATTGAAATGAAAATCCCAGGAGTACAATGGTGGTTTCTGGAAGAAAAATGACTTCCCCAAGGATTGAAATGAGAAATATAAGGCTGTAATAACAATTTCAGGAACCAAAAAACAACACTGAAAATAGAGAAAAGCTCCTGTGACTGGAATTATTAGGAAAAAAATTGCAGTCATTAGAGATCCAAGCCCATAATTTTATTCCCAGGGTCCATTGTTCTACTTTCAACAGCCACATTTCAGTCTCAAGCTTAGTTTTTTGTTTTGTTTGTTTTGTTTTCTTATGTTCAGTAGCAGGAACTGCCAGTCCAATCCAAAAGGCTTGTGCCATTACCAAACAGCTGTCCCGGGGAAGCTTGACTGTTGATAAAGTAGCTGCCATAGTGACCATGCTAGACTTACAATATCTATTTATTGGTGGACAAATGAATGCTACCCATCTCTCCATCACTTCCTTCTGTTGCTTTCTATATACAGATATGTATTCATACAGCAGTGTCTGGAGTGAGGTGGTTATAATAATTGACTGAGTCTGATGAAAATGGCATCTCACTGTAAAAACACAAACCTCACCTCTTTTGTATGTGTATCATATCTTTGCACACAAAGGGGTAGAATTCATGGCTCAACTGCACAAGCTGATTAAAGTGGCTGAAACCGATGAATGTCCATGCATCTAGATCTGTATGCCAGAATAGCAGCCACCACATAATTTTATTTTCTAAGGTTGCCTATATAGGCCCCAAGCACATTATTGGAAATACAGATGATGCTAGAATTTGCTCTGCAGCATGTTATTTATTCCATTTATTTTCTAAATCAAAAGACTAAGAGGAAAAAAAAAGTTAGCTGGGATAGAAAGTCAGAAGCACAAGAAAACAGTCTGTAGACCTGCAGGCACTAGGTTCTTTATCCTCATTCTAGATTGACCACTGTCCAAAAATGGATTTCGAGGAACATCACACTGAAATTTAGAAATCCCCCAAAGAAAAAAGAAATTAAATAATAAATAGTAAATGTACAACCAACCTAGGATATTAGAATCACTTTTAATAATTAAACACTTTAAAATATTTTAATCTAACACTAGAAAAAATATAATACCTTTGAAAGGTATTATAAGGTGGAGGTCACCAGCATAAAAGGCTCTTTCCACTGTTGCTGTCAAGCTCATAATCTGATAATCTTAATACATGATTTAGTAGAAAACAAGATGCTTCAAGTATGTATTTAGAGGTACTTGCTAGCACTAAGGAATGGCTTCATGAGTAAATATGGTTCAGACTGTAAACTAAAAATAGCATTGAATGAACCATACTGACAGTATTTTATTTTGTCTCAACTTTTACTAAAAGAGGCAAGATGGAACTATACATGATGATTTTATAACCATTTAGTTATATGTTTTCTCAAGAATTTTAAAAATTGTAATGTAATGGAGATGGGTAGAATTTTATTTGACATTATTTCTACAATCCTATTATAATACTGCAACTCAAAAAGTTCCTTGAGAATAAAGTTCAACAATAGAAACAATATGTATTTGTGCTCATATATTCACTTTAAATAGTTATAAACAAGTTCTTAGTCTAGTTGGTGAAAAAGAATTTCCATTTCAAGTGTTTATTTTGTATTTTAAGAAAAAAAATTCATCCATAGCAATCTGCTACTGGAAAAATGGGTGCCATGTTTCCCTCACATTGAAAAAATGTTTATATGATTTTGAGTTAGGTAATCATTTATACACTAAATATAAAGCTTCTTGGTCGCCCTGAGTGACTAAAGTAAAGTATTTAAAACTAAGCTTGGAAAAGCCCTATCATAACTTTATACTGTGGGTACTTCCAAGTTGCATATTTGGATTCTAGCAATTGCAATGCTCAATGCAATTTATATAAAGAGGTTTTCTTTGGGTCGTTTTGCTTTATTTCTCTCTGCCAGTATAAAATAGGAATAGAATTACATCAAAGGGAATTGTAACATGAAAGATCTTACAAGATAACATTATTACCCTGGAAAAACAATGGGAACTATTAACATTATTAGATGTTGGGATTTCAAATCTCCCACACAGAACTTTAGAAGACTTAAGTTACTTCCAGAACTTAGACTTGCTTTCTTCTATTTTAAGATTGGCTCCAGGCTCAATTTTTTCTCAAGAACTGATTCAGTCTTTTTTTTTACCATCTTCCTAGCCCCATCAAACCTACGACTGATCAATTTCTAGATTAGATCATAAGAAAGTATCTTCTACAAAGTAGTATGATTTCAGATATCCTACATCTCAACATTGATATGCTTTGATCTGTAGTTTTCAGCTGATACACACAGAAAACTGACTTTATTTTAATTATGTACACCAGTTGGCACTAGCCACGGAATCATATGATCTTTTCATTTTAGCTTGTCTCTATCCCTACAGCATGTCTCTTTTCCACAATAGTTATTGTTTGTCCTGATATCTCCATGTAGTTTAATATTAGTTTTAAATCCTAGCCAAATTGAAATGCCATAGTTAGCTGTGAACACATTTAAAAGCAGAATTGAAGCTAAGGTATGAGTGGAAAAATTGCTTCAAGGATACGAAGAACTGCTATGAGATTGAAAACAAGTCCATCCTAAATATAGTTT